GCTGCCACCTCTCCCAGACAGGTAGGCATCTGACTCAATCCCCACACTGCCATTCCCTGCTGTGTGACCTCAGGCATGTGCCTCCACCTCTCTGAGCCTCCAGTCTCAAGGGGAGAATGAGAACACTATGTAACTACCTGAAGGATTAGGGTCCTGCATATAAATAAATTGTACAAATTAATAGAAGACAAATAACCCGATATACTGAAAAAGGGGCAAAAGATAAAACAGGCAATTCACAGGGGAGAAAACTCAAACGGCCGATACAGGTGGGAAAAGATGTTCAACCTCAGTAGCAAACAGGCACTACCATGAGATAATATTTTGCACCCACCAGATTGGCAAAAACAAAAAGGTCTGACAATTCAGAGTATTAGCAGGGCACAGAGCAAAGGGACCCACAGACACTGCTCCTGGGGATGAAGATGCATGAACGCCAGGACCCAGCAATCCCACTGTGCATGTGGGCGCAAGGAAGCAGCTGCTTGGGAGTGAACTGCTAGGAGCATCCTAAAAGCCCCCAAAGGAGCTGGAGTAAACAGGAGAATACTGATAAATGGAATACTACACAGCAGTGAAAACGGACCGCAGCTACAAGGATCAACAGAGATCTCAAACGTGTACCGTCTTTACATTCAATACAAGATCTTGGGGAGTATTAAAAAGGTAAAAACATTCGAAGGTGCAGGCGGTTGGGGTGGGAAGGGGGTTGACTGCAAACGGGTGCAAGGAATCTTTTCGGGGGGTGATGGAAATATTATAAAACTGTGCTGTCATGATGGTTACACAGCTCTAGAAATTTACTGAAAAAGCCAGTGAACTGTACACTTGTAGCAGGTGAATTTTACGGTATGTAAAACATGCCTCAATAAAGCCATTAGAGAAGAAAAATTCTATCTGTCAGTCTATTTTAGAAACGTGCATGGGAATAACACCATAGGCAGGACCCTGATTTTTGGGGGGCAAGTGTTGGGGAGCGCCACCGGGGGCTTTATGTCTGCACTATTTTATTTCTTAAAAAATAAAAATAAAAATGATTTGAAACAAGTCTGGCAAAAGGTAAAGATCTCATAGAGCCCGATGGTGGAAAGACAGAGCTTATTTTCTTCTATGTCTCTGTATAGTTGAAACATTGTATGAATAGAATGAGCAAGCATCGATGTTAAAGGGCTGTTGTGATCACTAAATAGGCAGAGAGCTTAAGCCAGCGCCCGGCCCACAAGAACAGACCAAACTCCAGCTAGTATTACGATTCTTGCTGCTCTAACCACTGCTACCGTCTTGTTCCCCTTAACACCTCAAGACCTCAGGACAGAGCGGGCCGGCCCCCCCCGGGGACTCTCCCCAAGCCCAAGCACAGCCCTCTCTAGTGCGGGGAATGGGACGATCCAAATAAAGCCAGTCAAACCAGGCAGGCCGTCTTCCTCCCCTCAAGCCGGAAGAGAACCTAGCCCGGGAGCATCCCCCAGCGTGTCACACTTGAAAGCCCCCTTTCCATTCATTCAGAGGGCCCTGGGCTCTCGGGCAGGAAGGGTGCTGGCAGAGAAGGCAGCAGCGCCCCAGGTCTCCACCTCTCCGCCTCTGACAGAGGGGGCGGCTCCAGGGGAGCCCTCTCCAAACTGTATCACCGACAGCACTGTCACCAAGCATCCCCACCCACCGCTGGGATCTCAGAGGCCCTGGCAGCTTCTGCCCCTGGGCCCACTGATGACGTCTCTGCCCACAGGTGAAGGAACCTGAGGCCGGGCACGGAGAGGACGCCACTCTGATCGTTGGGAAGACACCATTTCAGGTGCACAGGTGGCCCAACCCTGAGCTCCAGGGGCAGATCTCCGATGACATCTACAGCACCTGTGACTCCTTCCCTCGCAGCCAACGGAGAGATGAGCAGGTGGTGGCCAAGGCAGCTGCAAATGGGGAGGGGGTGGCGGGAACTAGGGGCAGGGTGACTGGAACTCTCCATGAGTGATCTGTATATTCTAACGCAGTGTTTGGGGGGGAGAGGTATATGTGATTTTGCCCCCTCCACCCTCAAATGTGTGGAGACATTTTTGGTTGTCACAGTTGGGGAGGAGGATGCTACTGGCATCTAGCGGGTAGAAACTAGAGATGCTGCTAAATATTCTACAAAGCACAGCACAGCCCCCCACAAGAAAGAAAGATCTGGTCCCAAAAGTCAAGTGTTGAAGTTGAGAAATTCTGCTCTAGAGGGAAGTATCAGTGTTCATAATTTGCAGATTATAGAAGTTGAAGCTCAGGGAGGTAAATCGACCAGCCCAAGGTCACACAGCAGGAAGTGGCAGAGCTCAAGACTGTCCAACTCTTTTGCTCATGCTCCCTCTCCAGAGTGGCTGGGCCAGGTTCAGAAAGGAGGGTACCAAATGGGATGAAAGTCCAGTCCATGCCAACAGCCGCCTCCATGCCCATTCCTTCCAGGGTGGTGGTGGGCACATGGCTTGAGAACAGGGGCGGGGGCCGCTGGTGGTTTCTGGTGGGTTTTGGATTCCCTCCCATCATGGCACTAAATTTTCTCTGTTCCTGTGGACAACTCAGGCTTCAGTTAAACTCACTGCCCCTCTTAATCTGAGGAGCCCAGAAGGCTGGATAGAGGGGAGGGACCCCTTTGAATCGTAAGAGTCACTAAACCCACAGGCAGAAAAACAAGTTCTTGGTGAAATCCCTGCCCACATGACTTCGGTATGTTCCCAATGAGAGTGACATGGACACCATGGGGTAGGGAAACCCACACACAGAAAAACAAGTTCTTGGTGAAATCACTCCATGTGACTTCAGCACGTTCCCAATCAGAGTGACACGGACACCACGGGGTGGGGAGGCGGGGAGGCAGGCATCCGATGGTGACGGAACGCCAACCCTGCCCATCACCCGGTCCTTCGCCCCAGGAAGGGGGCACCCTAACTCCCATCTTACATCTCAGGATACTGAGGCTCAGAGGGGCACACAGCTAGCAAGTTGTGAGGCCAAGATTTGAACCCACATCCACACTTTAACATTTAGAGACTTGTCTCAGGGGCCCCTAAGAAGTGGCTGAAAGCTTAGAAAGATGCCCCTCAAAGCTGCAGAACCTTCAAAAAACTGGCAGGCAGGGACAGGACCCAGCAGAGAATGAAAATTCTCAAGGCGGTCACAGATGATGGCGGATGTCCCGGTTTTTAAGGGGACCTTGTTAGGGAAACGGAGGGGGGTGGGATCTGAGAAGAGGTGCGGTCTGGTGGAATGCCACTTTTTGGGGTCCAACAGACTTGGATTTACATCCCTGCTCGGCTTCTGACTGTAACCTCAGGCGAAGGACCTCGCCTCTCTGAGCCTCAGTTTCCTCCTCTGTCAACCGGGCTTGCGCGGCTCTGCCTGACCTGAGGCGATGGCGACGGGAGAGGCAGGAGGGAGCGCACCAGGGCGCCCAGGACTTGGTGGCTCTGTCTGTTCTGGTTTCGCCAGCTCACAGGTCCCGTGGGCGGTGGCGTGGAGAGCACCAGAGTTCCTCCTGTTGCCATGCTGGTAAAAAGTGTGCTCATACCAGTGAGGCAACTCAGCTACACACCCAACAGGCTCAAACAAGAAACCAAGATTTGGCAGCATTTGAAACAGTTAACCAAACAAAAAAAAAAAAAAAAGGGGAGAAAAAAAGACAATTTAGCTCAGCTCTGGAATCAAGGGAAACTTCACTCTATTTAAAGATGCCACAGGTCCAGGAAATAGCTTCCCACCGCCTGGCTCGGGGTTGAATAACCGGCTGCCCAGCCAATAACAATACAGCCTCGCACAGCACGCCCGCTCCGCAGAGCGTGGAGTGGATTCCCGGCCATCTCCTCTGGCAATTGTATAGGCCGTTCACGGAGGGCATGTGGATCTGCTGTATGAGAATGAGCCCCTTAAGAAAACGGATCCAAAGACGCCTCGCAGGGAGGCCAAGGAGCCGAATTCAGGCAGCCAACGCCCTCTGCTATTCATTGTTCTACACTTCTTTGTTAGGATTTTTTTCCCTCCCTCCTGCTCTTTTCCCCTTCCTGGTTAACTTCTCTGCAGCAAGGCGAGGCCACTGCCCCCTTCTCACCACCAGAGACACCACAGCCCCCTCCCTCCTGCAGACGGGCCACCCCCAGGCCTCCCCTGGGCCCAACATCCCACAGCCCGGGTATCCTCCACCCGGCACCTCTGACGTGGTCCCAGGGCCCCTTGGACCCCCGGATTCAGCTCCCAGGCTGCTAGGTGGAAGCCATTTCCCACCCGCGGGGCACCGTCTGCCCCAGGCCCACCTTCCAGAGGCAGGGAAGCCCTGAACGCAGCTCCCGCGTCCAGAACCTGCAGCCCCTTCGAGCCTCGACCTGCACATGTGCAAAATGACGCTACTGGCCCATTTTCTCAAGTCCTCCCAGCTCGAAACAAAATTCCCATTTTAGAGGGAGACACCAGGAGAAAACTTTCATACATTTTAAAACGTTGGGATGGAAGAGAGGGGCAGGGACCGTTTCCTTAACCTTCCAAGGTGCAGCCCTCAGAGGATCCATTCCCAGTGGTCTCCTCCAAAAGGACAGAGGCAGGCTTGGCGGTCCCTGGAGGGGCTACCTGTGGCCGGGCCCGGCGGGTCCGAGCGCCTCCCAGACAAGGAGGGGCAGGGCCGGCGGCCCGAGAACGGGCGCTTCTCCCTCCCTCCCTCTGTCCGTCCCTCCGTCTCCTGCACCGGCTGGGGCCAAGCTTTTCCACGGACGGGCAGCAGTGGGGTCGGGGTGACAAGGGGAGAACGGACAGGCGAAGAGGAGCGGCAGAGAGGCGAGTGGGGGCGCGGCGGGAGGACGGGATGGAGGAGAGCGGGGCAGAGGGGGGGGGGGGGGGGGGGGGGAGGGGAGGAGAGGGGGATCGGGCAGCGCCGCGCCGGGCAGCGCAGGGGGCGGCGGGGGCAGGGCAGGAGCAGAAGTTTGCGGGGCCGGGGGTCCCGGCCGCCCGGCGGCGGGCTCGAGGGGGCGTGGGGGCGCACTCACATAATGCTTGTTGGGCACCCGCCGCTTTTGCACGTCCAGCACCTTCACCTCCACGATGCTGCGCCGCGGCGGCATGGCCGCTCCTCCGCGGGCCGGGCCGGGGCGCCGCGATCGCAGCCGGCCGAGCACGAGCCGCCGCCGCCGCCGCCGCCCTTCGCTCCGCGCCCTCGGCCGCCCCGCCCCCGGCCCGCCCCTCCGAGGGCCCGCCCCGTACCGCCCCGCCCCGCCCCCGGCCCGCGCGGACCCGGCTGGCCCACGTCCGGCCTCGGCCGGGCCTTTGTGCCGGCGCCGAGCCGCCGCGGCCGGGGGAGGGGCCGGCGCGTGTCCGCGGCGCGTTCCCTGATTGACTGGTCGATTGCTTCCAGCGCTCCTCGCTCCGAGAGCCGCCGTCCAGCGCGGGGTTTGAGGGCCGGGCTCTCCGGTTCGAATTGCAGCTCTGCCGCTTATGACTCTGTGACCTTGGGCGAGTTGCTTAACCTCTCTGGGCTCAGTTTCTTCACCTATAAAATGGGCCTGGTACGACTGCCTCCCAACCAGGGCTGTCCTCGCGATTAAGCGCAAGTGGAGCCGTGGGCACTGTCTGGCCACGGTATAAATGTTGGCAGTTGTAAACCCAGCTCCACCCAACCCTGGGGATTCAGGGAGGAGCACGAGGCGGTGGCTTCTTCTCTGGGGCGTACAGTCTGAGAGATGGAGAGAGAGGGAGAGAAAAACCGCTTCCAATGCAAGGCGAGTGCAATATAATTGCAACAATCGCAGCGAAACATGGAGATAGGGTGGTGAGCGTGAGTGAGGGCCGGTGGGTGCTTGTTAACAGACCACCGCTTCCCAAATGGGGAGCACTCACTCCACGCCCGGTGCAGGGCCTCCTGCTGTTCGGAATGTTCTCCGAATGCCCAGGACTGCTCCGGGTGGGAGAGGCGGTTGACCCGCAGTACAGGGGAGGCGACGGAGAGCAGGCGCCCGCGCCCAGGCCCGGAGGAGAGCGCCCACCGCGGTCTGGCCCCGGCGTGGTTCTCAGGTTGAAGCTGAGGGCGGCGGGGGCTGCCGCGTGTTCATCCGGAGCGCCCAGCCCTCCTTGGCCCCGAGGCATTCGCAGGAGGGTTGGCTGGACGAATGTCTGAATGAACGGACACGGCCCTGCTGGGACAGGGTCTTTAGGCCCTGGCCAGGGCTCGCTGCTAGCAAGCAGGACTCTTTCCAGCAAACTACCAGCTCCCCTCCAGGCCTGAAAGAGCCCAGGGCTCCCTCCCACCCTGGGGCCGAGGTCAGCCTTTGAAAGAGGGTGGCGACCGGAGAGGACACTTCTCGGCAGCCCTGGCCGGTCCGCTGGACAGTTTGCTGCAGACTCCCTTTGGAGCGGCCCCTCCCTTTGTTCCTCTGACTTCCTTGCAGGGTTTTACCACCCTGCTCTGGCCCTGAGGGCTGGCCTGTGGGACTTCACTGATGGTTCCCTGTCCTCTGCCTTCCTGTTGGGCTTGGCTGATGGGAGGCCCTGGCAGGAGGCTGAGGGCAGAGGAGGGAGAGGTCTGGGTATTCATTCCCCTAACTCCCTTCCCGCAGGGTTGTCCGTACCCTGGATCCACCCTTCCCCGCTAAGGGTGGTAACAGCCCTGCCCTCGTGCCTCAGGTACTGCTCCACCCCTTTTGGTTCCCTAAGCCCTGCCACACCTTTGTAAATGGACCCTTTAGTAAACTTTCCTGCCGACCCGGTTGGAGGGTGGCATCTGCTTGGAGCTGGACCCTTACAGATGTAATTCCTGGAAGGCACGTTCTCCTGAAGCAGGATCGCAAGTCAGGGGACGTGGAAATGTGCAGAACCTTGAGGCCTGGCTTTTCTGTGCCTTTTACTCATCCTCTGCCTGAGCCCAGCCTTCCTAATAAGGCGTTGCCACAGGAGGCAGCAGCTAGAGGAAATCTGTGAATCAGCCGCTTCCTCGGTCCTCCCAGAGAGGCCCTGAGACCTGCCCCACTCATGTCACACACGGAGCAGCACAGCCGGGCCGCAGCCGCCTGGGTGTGTCCGCTCTGCCGTGGTGGCAGGCCTGGCCCGGGAGGGCACACTTTCCTCCCCACCTGCCGTAGCCACAGATGCAATGACCGCATCTCTCCACACCCGTCCCGTGTCTTTCTTTTACTTTCATTGTAGTAAAATGTATACAACATAAAATTTACCGTTTGAACCATTTGTAAGTGTACCATTCAGCGGCATTAAGTACATTCACACTGTTGTCCAAACTTCACCACCATCCAGCCCCAGGACTTTTCTGATCTCTCAAGCTGAAACTCTGTACCCATTAAACACTGACTCCCCACTCCCCCTCCCCCAGCCCCTGGCACCCGCCACCCAACCACGTGTGTGACCTTGGGCAAGTCATCGACCTCTCTGGAACTCCATCTCCCCATCTGTAGGATGGGATGAGACCAGCCACTGACCTCACAGGCTAGTTCCCAGGTCTAAATGAGGTACTACATGCAAAGCACGTGTTTTTTTGTTATTTTGCCACCAGCCAATCTGACACAGCAAAACGTCTCCCTTTAACCTGCATCGAATTTCAAACCTAATTTTAATCCCAGCTGTCGCACCAGTTGCCTCCAGTTCCCCGCATCCCCCAGATAGAAATGACTTGTCATCTTGAGAAGAAAATACATTCTTTTCCTCCTACCTACATGCCTTGGCATAAGCTCTTCATTTTCCCACCTTGTCTGCCAGTGACCTCTTAGTTGGCCTTCAAAACCCAGCTTGGATGTCACTTCCTCCAGGCAGCCCTGTCTCCCGGATATGCAATTGCTTCCTCCCCGGGCTGCCGCTGTGCCTTGTGGCAGCCGTCACTCTGGGCTGAAATTGCCTTCTTATAGATCTGACTCCTTTGCCAACCCCAAGCTCCCAGGGAGCTGGAATAGATCTTATTTGTCTCAACTCCCTCAGCATCTGGCACAGACCGGCACAGAGGGGCCCCGAGGAAATTCTTGTGGGATGAGTGAAGGCATCTCCATCTCCTTCCTGCTAACCTTGGTCCTCACCGGCTGTAATGGAGCCACGGGGACTGGGCCTGCTTCTGTCCTCCCTGGTCCTCTTTGCGCCAAGCTTGCCTGTCCACATCGCTTCTGGACACGGGCTTTCTACCTGACTGGGGTGTGGAGAAGGCAGGCCAGAGAGGAAGGTAAAGCTGCTGCCTTAGCAGACTTTCTTCCTCTGAATTCCTGCTCCAGAAGCGTGCTTTGCGAGCTCGAGACCATAGAAAATCAATGCTGGAGCCAACAGAGCTCAGAGTCCCACATGGCGGGTTGTTTGGGGGGAGGGCCACACACTCGAGCGGCATGGAGTCCAGCGACCAGCATTAGGTTCTGGTCTCTTTGCGATTTTTGGTGTGTGGCAGGCAGCACTTCTCCCCAGTCCCAGCTCCTAGGATGGACAGCCAGGCCCGGGAAGCCAGGGCTGCTCCTTTGCTGCCTTTCTCCGTAGCTGCCTCTGAGAAGTCGGGCTTGTTTCCAGGGCAAAGGCAGGGGCCGTGGAAAGAGATTCTTTCCCTCCGAGACTGCTGTCTGATTGGCTGGCACAGCAAGATGCTCACAAGTAACACGGCCAGGCCTATGAGTGCTTAGTGGCCAGGCACACGCAGTCCTGTGGAACAGACCCTGGGCTGTAAGCGGGCAGGCCTTAAAACAGCGTTCCGCTGCCCAGGCTGCAGGCCAGAGCCCCGGTCGGTGTGGAGGAGGCTGGGGGAAGTACATCTCAGGGGCTGGAGGAAGGAGATCACATCTTTCTTCCTTTCTTATTCTCTCTTTTCCTGGCTGTCACAGTTACCTTCCTCCTGAACGGAAGCTCTGCTCGTGGTACTCCCCTGCCCAGAAACCCTCACTGGCTCCCACTGTCCACAGATGTTCATGGGCATTAGGTTGGCATTCAAGGCCTTGGTGACCTGATCCCTTCAGTAGTGCTTTCATCTCCACCTCCTGTGTGTTTATAAATTGTATATAGATCTGCCTTTCCCCTTCTTTGTAAAGGGATGTATGTGTGTGTGTGTGTTGTAATGGGAATTTTATTGAGCACCTACCAGGTGCTACGTATAGCACCAGACCTTCCATATCCATTTCTTTATCTAATTCGCCCAAAATCTGCAGTGTGAGTATTATTTTTCCTACTTTCAAGTGAGGAAACTAAAGCTTAGAGAGGTTGCCCAGGATCATAGCACAGGAAACTGGTGAAGCTGGAGCCTGAACTCAGATGTCTGGGGCTGCCTGGCCCGTGTTCTTTCCAGTGAAGCCAGAGCTCCCTTCAGGATGGGACTGGTGTCTTAATGTTTGTGTCCACTCGCCCCATGAAGTAGACGCCCTTCTGCTGTAGACCGAGTATGAGTGTCCCCCAAAATTCACATTGAAATCTAATCCCCAAAGTGCTGGCATTAGGAGGTGAGGTCTCTGGGAGGTGACAAGTCATGAGCGTGGAGCCCTTGTGAATGGGGTTGGTGCCCTTATGGAAGAGACTCCAGGGAGCCCCCTCGTCCCTTCTGCCACGTGAGGACACAGCGAGAAGACAGCTGGTTATGAGCTAGCAAGTGGGCTCTCAGCAGAATCCAAATTGGCATCTTGATCTTGGAATGCCCAGCCTCCAGAACTGGGAGAATAAAGTTGCTGTTTATAAGCCAGCCAGTCTAAAATATCCTGCTACAGCAGCTGAACGGACTCAGACACCCGCTAAAGCCTTCTCTATCCGCAGCCAGATGGATCTTTAGAAAAGGCAAGTTAGATAATATCTATGAAGGCCAAGTCCTCACCACTCAAGGCCAGGAGGACCTGGCCTTTCACCTCAGCCCATCTTCTCCCCTTGAAACACCCCCCTCCAGCCACTCTGGCCTTATTTCCATTCCTAGAACACTCACCTCTTTGCACATGCTGTTCCCTCATCCAGGAATGCTTTTCCTTCAACTGGCTCATGCCCGTCTGCAGGCCTTAGTTTAATCGTCGTCTCTTCTGAGGCCTTCCCTAAAGTAGCCCCACGTCTCTCTCTGTGAGTATTTCCTTCACGGCACTTATCACTGTGGTCATCCTCTTGTTTATCTGCCACCTGGAACGTCTGCTCCACGAGGTCAGTCCAGTCTGTCTCGTTAGTTCCTATCCGCCAATCCGTCAGCAGTTGTTGAGT